CGAGAAATTAGAGGAAGACAAAAAAAACTCTAACTAGCTGTAAGTGGAATCTGTCTTGAGGCAATTATGGCATCGTGCCTTAAGGCAAATTGCTGGAACTAATACTGATGTTTTTAAATAGATTATTATAAATATTGTAACATTGTCTAATATTTTAAGAATTATATAAACTGAATTGCAGAGTTGAAATTATTTGTAAAGTATATTAGAACTATAGTCAGAAGTAAAATAAAATCTGAAATATTTTCGATATACAAAAACTAAAAAAAAAAAAAATGGAACAAAATTTTTTTTTCAAAATTAATTATTTGTAAAGACAAGCAGAAAGTTCTTTGAATCATTTAAATCGGACGACTTAGTTCTCTCAAAAACTGCCATTTCTTACATATTTAGCTCCGTATCTTCAAAATGGCGGGGCCTGCCTTTGCCAAAAACTAATAAACACTCTCCCAATCATTACTAATTGAATGTTTTTTAGATCATTCAAATCGGATACTCCGTTCCCTCAAAAATTCAATTTCTATTTTCTGCACTCTTTGCTCTGTATCTCCGAAACGGCTGGACCTGCCTTTGCCAAAAACTAATCAGCTCTTTTCCCTATCAATAGGAATCGAATGTTTTTTTAAACCATTCAAATCGGTTGATCCGTGCGCCCTAAAACGTGACTGGAAATTTGTATCCATACATACATACATACACACACACACACACATCCATTTTTTTTGAGGTATGCCAAAAGTTCAGAAACCTTCAAAACGTCGAGAATTTCAATTCCGATTTTCGGCCCATTACAATAACTTACCCTATGGGAAGTTAAAAAGAGTAATTCCGGGAAAGATGAAATTTAGTACTAAAATTAATGTTTTTATATTTCATTGGTTATTTTCCAAAACACAAATCGCACAAATATGCATACAAATTTTTTGATATATTGAGATTTTTTGTATTTCTCTACTTTAAACTTTTCCAATACTATATGTGTGCCATTCAGCAAGTTCATACCAGTATAAACAAAATTAGAACATTGTTTTGTAATAAAACAACACAAAACTTTGAAACAATTTTAAAGAAAGGATAACCACATTATTTTGTAGACCGTAAAATAAACTAGTGGGTTGCATGGCATTGTTCCTCAAGGCAAATTGCTGGAACTTCCCGTACCGTAATTAAAAATCTTATACGGAACCCAAAAAAATTTACACAAAAAGTGTACACATTATTAAAATCTCTATGAAATATCTGATAAATTGATTTACATTTGTCCAATAAACATTTTTGACCGCCAAATGACACTTTTTTAATTTAATTTGGAGAGTTCATAACCGCTGGACCTGCCTTCCCAAAAATTTAATCAGTTCTTTATTTTCATTTTACATATCTCAGTCAGATAGGGGATGTATCTTATAAGATATAGCTATGCGAATTAATATTTTCTTAGCCATAATTTTAAGTGTTTACTGCTGAGAAAACTGCAGTACAAAGTATGACTTTTTTAAATTAAAAAATATTGTATTGTGATCAAAAATTATAATTAAGATATGAAATGTACCAATCATAAATACAATTAAACCACCCCATACATTTAAATAGCACATAATTTTTATTTCAATAATAATTAAGACAGATGAACTAATTTTAAATTCATACCACGAAACATATAATATATATGCTCCCAAAGTAAAGTTAAAATATACATTAATGAACTAACCACTAATGATGTCATATTGATAACATATATAAATCACTGATGCACACATAATCTAATCATGATTATCTCCATTCATATTTTCACCATCCCTATCCCTAGACCGTGAACGAGATCTAGAAACAGACCTGTTATTAGATTTGCGGTCTCGGCTGTGAGAACGCCTTGGGCTTTTGCTGTGTCTTGGAGATCGACTGCGACGGGCAGACTTGCTTCGCGAACGGCTTCTTCCACGAGACCTGCTTCTGGATCTTGACATACTCCTAGAACGAGAACGGCGATCCCGTGAGCGGCTTCTTGATCGAGAACGAGACCTAGACCTGGAGAGTTCATAATATGAATTATAAAGAAGATTAAAGAAGCAATATTTATAACATTAAATTTAAAATTCCAATTGATACAGACAATGGAAAACTTGCAAGCAAAAAAACTAAAAAAATTTATATTATTAATAAAGGGCATTAACTATATGCTTATATATAAATAAATATTGGTCTCAGGAATTTTCTGTAAAATTATACTAAAGTGGCATTTTTAAATAAATTTATATAGCAATCTGGATTCAATACTACGTGTTTATTAAAAATGTTGTAAGTTTTCCTTAAATAATTAAGATTAATCACAACCTTTACTCTATTAATCAGGTGCTTCATTTGCTTCTATAATGAAAATATTGTTGAATGCCGCCTTTTAACACTTTAAAGTGTATTTTATCTAATATGATAACTCACTATTCAATAACACCTGTGAAGTGTGAATTCTTAACTGAGACTTTATCAGACGCAGAAGACAAGTGTCGTGCAACGCAAGGAGGTGTATCATAGCAGATATAGTTTCTCAGTCTCAAGTGAAGAAACATTGATGTAACTGATGAAACTCAGGCATCATTACCAAGCTTTTCAGGCATCTAGCATGTAGTTTGTAGACAATTTAAGGTACAAATTCGTTTCTATGTGTGTTAGCTCGACGTATTGCAGACATGCCAGTGGCGATTGGAACAACCGTGGAGATGGAGAAACAAGTGATTGCAGTGGTAGATTGCCAACCGAGACCAACTCTTGTAGCAAAAATTTTGAGGAAAAATGGAGCACTTTCAGATATGAGCGAAGAAGCTAGTAGGACTAGTAGAATCGATACCAGAATCATAGCGATGGATAAAAACCTATAAATATGTAAAATTATTCTGAATGTTTTTTATGATGATTAAAAAAATTTATCTGGCAGATTTAAATTAGAAAATATTGATAAAAAACTGTAATCATCAAAATTTTTAGTTTAAGAATGATCGCTAGATTAAATGTCAAACACTTTTAATATAAAACAGTAATATGTATAGGTTGAACGCGCTAGGTATCTTCGAATGCTGGTTGATGGAGTTGGCTCGGTGTGTAGTAGAATCACTCAAACGGCTATGTAGACAAGAGTTCGCAGCGCCTAAAATTTCAAGACAACATACCTTCGGCGTCCTCCTCCTCCTCGTCTGCCATGCCTGTTACAATCACGGGCATAATGTCCACGATCGCCACATTCATAGCATCTGTCATCTGGATGGAATGGTCGTCCCCTTGTTGAGCCGCTTCTAGGTGGAGGTCCTCTTCCATATCCTCGATTTCCTTTGCCATTGGACATTTCGACGCGGGCTCTTCTACCACATATCGTTCTGCCGTCTAAGCCGCGTACAGCATCCTCAGCATCTCTAGGATCTTCGAACTCTACGAAAGCAAAGCCTGGAGGATTTCGTGCAACCCAAACATTGCGAAGGGGTCCGTAATATCCGAAAGCATCTTCTAATTCTTGTTTACTTGCATTATTTCCCAGGTCGCCGACGTACAGCTTACACTCTGAGCCGTAACGCGACATTATGATATTCTAAATAATATCGGAAAATAATTACTATTATCCGCGACATAAATAATTGAATTAACTATAAACACTTACCCTTAACACAAGGAATAACTATTTCTTATGATCACTATTTCACTTCAGCAACGCCATAAACAGTCGGCACAAAATGGCGGAATGAAACCGAAAAAACAATCGACGCGATCGACCTCGAATGCCATTGGCGATAGGCTACTGCGAATTTCCGATCATGTCACCAACATACAAAAACGAAAATCATACTTCAATTTTCATAAGTTGGCTTCTTGCTATATTTATCACAAATTTAATTTTGAATATAAGTTTGTTTCAGTTTATACTCATCAACTTACAATTAGAGAAGTGATCTTAAACAAAATAATAATAAGTGATAGTAATTTTTAATACTTAAGGAAGTTAAGGAATTTATAATAATTAAGGAAGTGATAGTGATTTTTAATATACCCAAATTCTGACCACACCACATTTAATGATGTATTACAGAATACAATCAATTGCAGGTAACAATCATTTTATTATCTACTTGAAATTTATTTAAAATATAAAAAGTAAAATATTAGAAGCTATATATAAAATTTACTAACTTTAGACTTATGTATAATTTTATTTATTTTCTTTAGTTGTTTTTAATTCCAATATGTTGACACCTCTTCCATAAATGCAAATTAATAAAGAATTTCTGGAATAAATAACAAATTTATATTAATCATGTGACTTTGATGAAGATAATTTACAAAATGCAACTTACATTGATTTATTAATGATACATATTCCCTTTATATCAGCTACTGTAGTAAGTCTTTGATACAAATAATTGCACTGAATTCCTTCCTTCGTATTAGCAGTCCACTCAAATAAAGATATTCTTTGATCAATTGATGTTGTAATGATGAATTCATTAAAAATTACAACGCCTGTTATTTGAGCACAATGTGCTGTTTTTATCTCCCAAGTAGTTATATTTTCAGCTTTGAATGAATTTATTTCTCCATAAATTGTGAATAATCTTAATATTAATGCATTATCATCACCACCTGTTGCCATAATATAAGTATCAGCTCCCAATTTTTTAATATCACAACTATTTATTCCATTTTCATGTGATTTCCAATTTGTAATAGATTGTAAATTATATGTGTCACTTAAGCATTGAGAAGAAACATCATTGCATTTATTAAATAAGCTCCATATCTTAATTTTTCCTTCAGTATCTGTTGTTAAAATAATGATGCAGTCTGGATCAGTTTTTTTAATAGTATGGACACTAAGAATACATTTACTAGTCATTTTTGAAGTTATCAGATTTATATCAAGTTTTGAGTTATTTTGTTTAACATTAAATATTCTTAAAAATCCATCAGAACAGCCTGCTGCTAACAATATGTTCAATCCATCCTTTGTTAATTCATTACTCTTATCACTAAATATCACAGATAGATTCATATACCTCATATCTTGAAAATGTTCATAATTAGTTTGTTTTTTAACGGAATCAAAATTATTTAACATGTGCTCCCCTAAAAGTTCAGAATGTACAACAAGATCACTAGCATTTGAGATATCAATATCAACTTTCGAAATACAAATTTGAGCTCTGCCTCCGCAAGATATAACATAGAAAGATAATATTTGAAGTTCCTCGTGGCATTTTATAACTTTAATGTCCTTGATACTGGATAAATGTGTTTGTATTGTTAGAACTTTTCCAATTTTATTTAAATTTTTATTAAATATACTTATTGTCAAGATTGTATCTTCGCCACCAATAATAAAAATACTAAATAAACTATTAGAAAATAAAGAACATAATGCATTTATTTCCTTACTTACAAAACTTTCTTCTAATGGTTTTATTAGTATATCAGATAGAATAACTTGTGTTTTATATATAACACCATTTTTGATGAAAGCCAAATTTACATTATTATCACTTATGTTCATATCCCATGATCTGTGCCCTCCTCCACAGTCAACTTGCCAAATGATTTCGTTTAATGTACAAATCATAAATTTGTTTGATAAAAATCCACATAACATTTCTTGATTATTTACAATAAAATATCTACCAATCCATTTCAGGTCAATCCTTGTGCATGATAATTTTACTAATTCTTTTGTATGAATTTTAAATTTTGCACATTTTCCATCTCGCCCTGTAGATATTATAGTATTATTATAAATATTTATATCTGTTACACCTAAATGACAGTGCACTTTAAGAGCTGTATGTACAGGTAAATAATCTTCATCATATAAATGAATATTTCCTTTACGATCACCTATAACCAAATAATTCTCAATCATATTTGCAGCAGTACACCAAGGCTCATTAGTTAAAGGAATTTTAAATTCACTCACTTTTTTTAAATCATTATTTAATAAAACATAGGTTGATATGATGCCTATTTCTGCACATAGTATGATGTTGCCATTGTTTGCTATAGAAACAAAAACAATTCTTTCTTCGAATAATGTTTTCTTAACTAACAGCTTTATTTCTGAATTTGTTTCTTCATAAATTCTTATATTTCCATTCAAACCACAAATTGCTATAGTATTAAATTTACTATCTATTACAGAATATGAAAACATTTCACTCATGTGGTCCACCAAATTCCAACAATTTGATTTTGGCACAAATTTTAATAAATGCCCTTCATTTGAGATACATAGAAGTGTGGATTTAAAAGTATATATAATTTTCTTTGGTGTAAAATTATTTTTAAGAAAAGTTGCATCGTTATTATTTAAAGGTAGCGGCTGTAAGTTAGGTACTTTTGGTACTAAACAATGTAATAATAGGCCTCCATCGCTACCCCCTGTTGCAATTAATTGTTTTTCCACATTTACATCTAAACTCCATATAGGTCCACATTGATGAGAATTCTTTTTATTTAAAAGTTTTCCATTTAAATCCCATGTACAAATCATAGAATCTTCTCCAATAGAAATGATTAAATTAAGGTCCTTAATGATAATACTGGCACGAACTCTGTCCATGTGTCCAAATGCTGTTTTGTGTAACGAAATTGTTACATTTTCCCAATATGTTCCATTATTTAATGTATTATTATTTTCTTTAATGTTCCAGATTCTTAAAGACCGATCATCAGAGGTTGAGGTAACTTTTTTCAATTCCTTGCTATAAGCTATAGAAAATATCACTCCCTAAAAATAAACACAAATACAAACTACTTTTAATATTTCACATCACATGATCATTGAACCAAGACATATATTTATGATTTTACAAAACTACTAAATACATGTATGTATTTATAAACTGTACCTTGTGTCCTTGTAATCGATGTAATATTTGATTGCATTTATTTGTATATTCCGTTTTCCAAATAATTATTTCACTAAAAACAGTTCCTCCAAATATCAAATTATTAGTTAGTTCTGCATTTTCATCACAAACTATTTCAGCAGAATATAATATACATTTTTCTTCAGACGTATAAAACTTTACTTCATCTCCTGTTGTAGCATTTATCAAGCTAGCGTTATTATGTGCAGTTATTGCCAAAAGATAATAATCAATAAACTTTATTTTCAAAATCCAATCCTTTAAAGAATATTTGTTTATAATAGTAGCCACTAAAATGTCGTTTAAAACACTTAAGTGAATCAAGCAAATCGATTTGCCCCCGTATACAATAAGTTCACTCTTTTCACTAATAACAATTCCATGTATAGATTGCCCTTGAAATATTTCCACATGTGTTAGGCTTTTTTCTGTATCATCATTTAACTTATAGATATTCAAATTTCCACCAACTCCTGCAATTTTTTTTCATTTAATAAAATATAATAAAACTGTTATTGTAGGTTAAAAAATATAATACCTGCCAAGACATAATTGTCTTTATAAAATTTCACTGCTGTTACATATGTTTTTAAAAATAATGATTCCATTTCATAATAAAAATAGCTTACGTTATATATAAAAAATATATTAAAAGTAAGTACAATTTTGAAAACACATGTTAAATGTTTTAAACCATTATAACCTTATTTTTACATGATAATAATATACATGAAGATAGCAATGCCTGTCAAATATTTGATTTACACTAATCTATTTTCAATTTCAATTAAATTTAAAGTTTAAATTGTTTTAACAACTCAATAAGCAAGGAAGCAGATGGTCGGTTGATGGGATTTTCTTCAGTTAATATAAAAAAACATTCGAGTACAGGATTATAGTCTTCAGAGAATTCTATATTTGGCAGATCGGGCCTAGTTCCTTAAAAATAGTTTAACCATTTAATAATTAATCATAATTAAAATATATATATATATATATATATATATATATAGACAAGAATAATCAAGCTCATTTTAAGATAATCACCTAATGTCTCTATTTCATCAATGCTTTCATTCACGGAACTTAAATTTGATTCATCACAAACAGGTGCATGTGGAGGTGTTAGAGATAACATTTCCCATATAGTAAGGCCTAAGGAAAATAGGTCAGCTTTATTTGTTATTTTACCTTCATCCATAGTTTCAGGTGCTGACCATAGCTCTGTACCTATTAAAAAGACATATAGTATTGCACTACAAAATATTAATAATGGAATATTAATTCAATATATAATATATATACCTTTGTAAAAGTTATTGGGTAAAACACTGCCATTTTGATCAAGTTGTAAACTGACTCCGAAATCACATAATTTACATATATCAAAATTCCCTTTGACCAAAATGTTATGAGATTTAACATCGCCATGTAATAAATGTGCTTTAGTATGTAAGTAATCTAAAGCACTAGCCATATCAACAATCATCTGCAAGAATATTTTTTTTATCAACCGCATGTCTACACATAGATAGATTATATATATATAAGTTTTTTGTACCTTGAGTATCTTTACTGCCTCAAAAGGAGTACCCTCATTTTCAAGACGAGTTTCTATCAGATCACCTAGTGATACTGTACAATCTTCCATGGCCAAAACCTTTCTCCCATCTGGTAAACTTGTATACGCTCGAAATCCTTTTATTACCATATAAATAAAACTTTAATATCAAGTTTTATGCAACAAATTTTTAATGTAATGAACAAATTTTTTTAATATATTATTTAATATGTAGATATATTTTAAAAAACCCACCAACAATGTTTGGATGATCTAATTTCTTCAAAATGTTAGCTTCTTCATTGAGTCGATGCTCAATGCTTAAACAATCAGATTGTTTAAGTTTTCTTTTAGTTAAGTATTTTAGTGCCCAAGGCGAATTTATTTTACCAGCTTGTGGGGAGCGATTAAAGCGATAAACTTGAACTCCTAAATAAAATGTTGTATATAATATTAAAATTAATGGTACAATATTAAAATTGGTACATTCGTATTACCTGTCCCGTAACCTAAATGCTGCAAAAAGGGTGATGCAGGTACATTCAATACATTATTTACTTTTTGTTTTACAGGTGTATTAAAGTTATCCATGATAAAATTAAGAAAATTGAAGACTAACAGTGGCTAACAGTTTCTAACACAAATATCCAAATGACAGTTTAATATAAAATGACAGTTGACTTTCAACTGAAAAACCAAAGGTTCTCAATCGTTTTTTCAAAATTTATTCAGGTTTTTTTATTAAAAAAAAATCCTTTATAAAAGAATTGAAATACTATTCATTAAAATATATTAAATTAAATATATATTCATTAAACAAAATCCTTTAATAAAAGAATTGAAATATTCAGAATTTATTATTAGTTTTTACTTCATTTTTTAATCTTCTTAAAAACATAAGCTGAGGTCCAACCTGGCAGGCTAAAGTTTTCAAACAAATTAGAAAAAAAAAACTACAGAAGATTAAAATAAATAATTATTCACCATAATTATTATCACTTCATCCAATTTTTTTACAATTAATTCAAATTAAATATACTTTTTTTCGGCGTACCAATTTATTACATCAGTTGATTAAAAAGAAGCATTGGTATTTTTAAATCTATATATGAAAAATTTGAATTTCTAATAAAATTTTGATTAAGCCTTATATTTGCAATATACGTATAATTCATATGGCAGATATGGCAGTGGCTACGCTCCTGATACATAAATTTATAATATTGTGCAAAACTTGTATAAAATAATAAAACATGAAACTTTTAAGAATAGTTAATTGACATTATATATTATTGATAATTTGTACAAATATATTATTTACATGTTTATATATGTATAAATATTGAAATTTATTTGTTCGTAATACAGTGTAATCTCACTAAATCCAGCACTATTATAAACCAAAAGGTGATTATTGGAATGTTTGGATTACTGGATTGTAGTAAAGAAGTCCTAAGGGTGCAACAAATAAAATAATGCATTTTATTGGGCAGTTGTCTCTAGAGCAGACCGCTCTCATCTGCATTTCAAATTTTGTCAGAAAGAAGACCCAATTCTTATATTTTGTTTTATATTGCTGGGAAATAGCTGAACTTCTCATCTCATTTGATATGACTAATAGTCAGATACCAAATTTTTTATAAAATTTAAAAAATGGCGAAGTGCTGAATTAGTGAAAGTACACTATATATATAATGCTCTCTTATATATAATTTACTTCTTACGTATTGCATGTGAAATGAGATCGTCAAATTATAAAATCGTATATATTAAATTTAATATCAATAAAATGCTCTGTTTATTAAGTTTAATTATATTAAATATTTTATTACTTAACTAATAACACAACCTGAATTTTCATTGCTTTCATGATTTGCAACATCAACTTCATTTAAATTGGATGTATTACTATCACATGCAACCATATTACCATTCTCGCATAAATGGGAATTATTAAAACTATTTTGAGTATGTATACTTTTATTTGAATTTTTTACTGTTCCTTGACTACCATGTATGGAATTTGTGACATCTGTATGGCTAATGCAAGATTGAGATTTTGGAGATGTATTTAAAACTTTCCTCACATTTTCTAAAATATAATATTACAATTATTGCACATTATTAAAATCCTAGTACCTCAAGAAAAAGTAAATGAATTAATTAATTTATATTACCTCCTGTGCTACTTGTGTTCTGTTCATTTATTGCTATTAGATCTTTGCTTATACAAGAAATTGCTTTATCAACATTAACAGATTTCTGTTGAGTTTTAACAGACAACAACCGATTCAACACAGAAATTTGGTTTTGTATTGCTAATATGAAGGGAACATAACCAAGACATTCAGATTGCGCCCATTGACAAATGCTACAAATAATAAATCATATTAAATATAAATACTCATACAATTAATGCACAAAAAAAACATTACCTATTGAGTCCATCTCGAAGTCTACAAACATTTTCAATACTTTGTTCATTAGATTTTGCAGCACTGGAAGTTCTTAAAACTGCCATTGCGTCTTGCAAAATCACTGCTATAATTAAAGCCCATTCCAAGCAACCTGCTTCCATAAACATTTGCAACAAATACCTTCAGAAAAGAAAAACAATATTCAAACAATTATTTATATTATTTTGAAACAATCTACCTAACAACAAAATAATTTTACCTAAGTTGGACCTCTGCTTTTGGACTTCCTTTTTTATGTGTTTGATTAGATATTGATTCTAATACTGTATTATAGCACATCTCCACATCAGGTGATTGCAATGATATATCCTCAGTCATATGAGACATCTAAATACAAGTTAGAGATGAAATAACTAGTCGTGAGTAGCATTTTGCCTTTTGCCCAATACATATACATAATCACTCACATACACACACACATTACGTTAACTGATTCATGATTACCTGTTCACTACATATACTTGAAAAGTCCTGTGAAACAAGTTTAGCTTCAATATTATTTATTTTTTGATTAGAATAAGAATTGCTAGCGTCGTTGTAATTATTTGCTATATGTTGTGGTGAAACCACCATGGCACTAATTGTTTCTTGACTATTTACAGGCGTAGAAACACCTGCAAAAAGTAAAATGTTGTAATTCCAATTATATATTGCTGTTATAATTACATGGTTCAAAAACAATATTAGATTTATCATCAATGTTGAAAATTGAGAGTAGAAATATTTAAAACTGCATACCAGTGGTATGAAAACCTCCGGAGTAGCTCATGTATCCACTATCACCTTCAATTTTGCCATGATTCTGAATCATTGATAAGGAAGTGGGTCTATTAACTACAGAGTTTGATGAGCATTCCGGATTGAATATCTTAGTCTCCATTTTATAACCAGGTACATTGGATTGAGTTTGTAAAACATTTTTTGATACTGCTGAAATTAAATGAATAGAAAATGTTGATTATTAAATCTAATTTCAACTTATTAGCTCATTTTCAATTTATTAAGGATCAATTTCTAACAAATTAATATTATTTACTATGCATTACAAACTGATTTTTTTATTCTCCTGTGTTAGAATATAAATAGAAATTGAGAAAAAGCTTATTTATTTACTATTTTTATTAATATACCAGTATTTTTGCTTATATCATGCTCTGGTTTGGGCCAGTCAAATTCATCATGTAAACTTTTAAGAGCTGTGATGAAACAATCAACGCGAGCTGCTCGATCGCGCTCTTTATTTAGCCATCGAACTAGAGGAAGATCCAAAAAAGCTGATAGTTGCCCAAGTTGAGTGAGTTCTCTACAACTTAGAAGTCTTCGAGCATGTCTTTGAAGAATCAGATCTATAAAGAAATGTTCAGCAGAAGATGCACTATCCCTAAAATTAAGTGATTTCATTAACTCTCATAATATACGTATACATTTTTAAATATTGTTCTTGTTACTTGTTTTCATTCTTCATACTGCTAGTGGATTTCTTCCTTTGAGTATTTTCAGTAATAATAGAACTACTGGAAACTGGAATAGTTGTTTTCGTTGAAACATTTTGTTTCTTTAAAGACACTGCTCCAGGCGATATCATTTGTTTCTGCGTTGTAGGAAAGTTAGCATTAATTCCTTCAATTTGGGCTTTTGGAGATAAAGTTGTACTGAAACTACGGCCTCGAGCAACCTAAGACCAATGGAAAAAATAAGCAAATAATACAGGAACAGAATAAAGTTCATGATCTGAACATAAATATTAGGCATGTTAGAGTATAGACATAAATGCATACACGTCCCATGTATTTCTTAAATTTCATACCTGCATAGATCCAAGAATAAGTGATAATTCTTCAGCATTTGGTATTACTGGAGGAGACTGTTGACCCAGTCCTAATTTATTGGGAATAATAAATGATGTCCTGGGTGATTCTATGTCATTAGGATCTGAAATATGAAAATTAATTTAACTGTTTAAAAATAGTAACTGAATTAGATTTAAACTTAATATTTATTATTAACTCCAAATAATTAATGGTTTAAATTCTTATAACAAATTTATTTCCTGCAAAAGGGAATAAAATGTTATACATATACACATTGCCAAACCAGCAATAAGCATTAAAGCATTAAAATAAAATACAAAGAGTTTAATATTACCTATGGCCCTTAAAAACCGTACTAGATCCCTTGACAACTCCCATTTAGATTTTTCTAAAGCTGTGTCCAACAAAAGGGTAGCAAACTGACGACTAACGGATGATGGTTCAAGATTCTACAAATTATTAGCATTGAGTGCAAGTTCACAGAACTAAAATAGAAATATGCACATAATATACCTGTAAAATAATAAGATAAGAAGCAGCAGTATCAAGCTGTTGTTTAGCCAAACATTGCTTAAATAATTCTTTGGGCTTCCCGGCTACACTAAATAAGCAAGGCCAAAGCGCTATTTCCGTTTTTCGTGCACATTGAACAACCGTCTGAGAAAACAATTTACAGAAACTTTATTTATTGAAAATAAATGTAGTTTATACTCAGAATAGCTTTGACATCAATCAACAACCTGCAAATAAACTGGAAATTCTTGAATAAACTCGATGATACTGGGAAGCTGGGCATCTGGAATGGGTTCCTTACAAGTTGCTTCTTCTTCTAAAACCTAATTTGGAACAAAAATTAATTTAAATGTGAAAATTTGCTTAATAACACATGAATGTATATATATATATATATATATATATATATATATATATATATATATTGAATGGTAGAGTCTTGGATTTGTGTATATTTTGTAGAGTTTCGAACAAGAATCCAAAAATAATACAAAATAAAAAACAAGAAAAGTTTTTAAAAAAACAATTTCTTTATTTAATTATTTGTTTATTGTCGACGTTTCGGAACTAGGTACGTTCCATCTTCAGGACATCTGTCAAGAAACATGATCTTGATGAGATTTTAGCAAACAATATGTTTAGGAAAAGAAAATTTTCGTTAAAAAAGCTTGTTTAGTGAAAAAGTGCTAACAAATATTCAAACATACAGGTAATTAATTCAACTTTGTCATTAACCTTTTCTTAAAAAATTTCCATAACTTTCAAAAAAAATTTCTATTATGTTTAATATCCTGTTCTGATAATCCACTCATTTATTTTTATCATTTTTATTTTGAACATATTATCATATTTCTGTACATTATTATATATTTTTTACAATTTAATTCATTATTTAAGAAAAATCTATTTTCTTTTCCTAAACATATTGTTTGCTAAAATCTCATCAAGATCATGTTTCTTGACAGATGTCCTGAAGATGGAACGTACCTAGTTCCGAAACGTCGACAATAAACAAATAATTAAATAAAGAAATTGTTTTTTTAAAAACTTTTCTTGTTTTTTATTTTGTATTATTTTTGGATTCTTGTTCGAAACTCTACAAAATATATATATATATATATATATATATATATATCTTCTATATATATAAAAATAAGTCTGGTTTTCCTTCCTGACGAAATAACTCCAGAACGCACGAACCGATTTCGACAATTTTGCATTCGTTGGAAAGGTCTCGGGCTCCGAAAGGTTTATAGCTAAGAAAATTAGTTGTGCATGGCATCGTGCCTTAATGCAAGCTGCTGGAACTTCACGCACCGTAATTAAAAATTCGAGTAATGACATTAGTGAGAATTATCAGAATTATGCTTGGTTAAGTCAACGAGCACTTCTTGCCGCAAAGAATAATGATGTACACGCCCTGAATTTCACCATTCAATCAAAAATTGCTGGCGATTTGGTGACATACCAATGATTCTGACTGGTCTTCCGTTTGACTTCAAACGATTGCAATTTCCAGTTCGCCTTGCATTCGCAATAACAAGTCGCAAGGCCAATCGCTTAGTGTTTGCGGGATAAATTTCAAATAGATTATTTAGAAAATCATTGTTTTTCACATGAGCAGTTATACGTTGCCTGTTCACGAGTTGGAAAACCATCCGCTTTGTTTGTGTTAACGTCAGACCAAATAACAAAAAATTTGGTTTACCAAAGAGCACTTCAATGAAACGGATAATTTGCGGATTCACTTTCATTTACTTAGAGAAGTTTAACTAAAAAACACTTCATTTTTGTAATCAAAATAAATTCGTTACTGTTGTATAATAAAAACAAATTTTTCCTTTTAAAATATAAAACAAACAAAAAATTTCTTCATCTTTCTCATCTCGTCGGGTTTGCTAGTATATATATATATATATATGTTTAATATCATAGTATTTTTATTTTTTATTTCATATCATACCTCATGCAGAAGTAATTCCAATGAATGTGGAAAGTAAGGAAGATTTGTACAACTGATTGCAATCTCGTATGCGTGATATCCTAAATTCCTACGTATTAATTGACGAAGTATTTGGTGAAGATATACTTGACTCTGAAAATATAATAATTTTAGATTCTTCTAATAATAACTAATGACTAAAATCATAATAAACCATACAGTTCTTTCCAAACGCAGAATGGTAATGAGAATTCGGAATTAGAGTCTGACGTGTAAAGAGTTGTATCATTCTCTGCGCCTAGTATTATAGCATCTTCGAATAAAATAGCTGTAAAGTAAAATATTAAGGTAAGAAAACATAGCAACAACTGTGAACGAATGAGCAAGACTCAATAAATATAGATGTATTCATTAAAAACAAGTAAATAAATAAATAAATCCTTTACCAAGAGGATAGATTTTAAGATGGAATGGAAGCATAATCCGTTTGCTCATAAATGCGTGATGATGTTGTAGGCGATCACCAGCTCTTGGAAATATTGGTAGCCAAACTCGCATGCCGTGTGCCCACAATATAGCCAAAGGGCTTCAGTCAAGTGGGGCTTGTCTGCACGAAAAACAGACGGGGCCCAAGCATTTTCCACGCATGAAGCAAGTACCATGGGCGGCGAACAGGTGTATGTCTGGAAAGGAATCTTGTAAATAAATCTTCGGGAATAGACATATTTTTCGCAATCTTTATCTACTGTATACTACTACTGCAGTATACACTACAAATTAGTGGAAATAGTCACTATAGTTATAAGTTATCGATAGTGTTCTATTAGTGAAAAGCTCATATCCGATTTTTTTCTAAAAAAACGAGCTAACGTCAAATTATTGCCAAAAAGCCAAGAATACTTTTTTAAACTTGAATCTTGGCTTGTTCGTTTTGGAGCATTATGATATTTTGCAACCGGCTGCAGATTCCTGTCTAAAGCAGCTTGATAGCAAGTAGTAGTTGTATCAGTTTTCACTTGCAACTAGTCATTTTTGTTTCATAAAAGTTATAATCAATAAATTTTATATATTTTTATACAAATGGATTTTATATTTTTATATACATAACTATTTTCCATACTGGTGACCCCTTCAAGTTTACTGCATATATCACGACACTATATATCACGAAATATATAATCGAATGCTAATCTCATAACAAAGAGAATGAACAAAAACTTTTCTTCTTAATTGCTGTCTTAGTGAGCATTAGAAATAGTTCTGATTGCTGAACTCTGAACTTACATAATTAGTACACAAAGTAAGATGCAATTTTTGTTTGTTTGTTTTATATATTTAAAAAGCGACCAAAACTACTTAATCCATGACTTTTTTCTATTGCACATCTCAGCCTATAGTCCAGTCATTTAAGCTTAATTTAGGTAAGAATCTCAGAATTCGAGATACCTAGCTAAAGTTGTCTCAAAACCTACATATGGTAGGGTGTCAATAGGGTGTCATGGGTATCTCGAATTCCGAGGTGAACTTACTATTATGACTGGACTATAGAATTTTTTTGGAGAAGGCAACGCAGCCTTCAACCATAAGATTATATTCGAGATCTATAATCTCAAGAAAATATTGAGACCATACTTCTTGATATCAAGTTGGTTGGAATCAAACCTGGAACAAGCTGGTGCTAGTCCACGTTCTTAACCAATACACAGAAACGAACTCAAGACGCCAAAATTCGAAAAAATACATGAATATTAACAACATTCAATAATTTTTGTACAATAAAACCTCTTATGCCCTAATTTCTATCTCATTTCATATAAAATGCATAATAATTTTATCTTATCCTGTTACAATACTTATCCGGAATTGAACTCTTAAGAAGTATACGGAAAAGAAAACAATCTGACAACATGTGATTTATTATAGAATGTACTATATAGTAGATGTTTTGAAATAATGTATTCAACATTTTACTTGTTCAATTTAACAATCGTTAGAAAAATCTCGGCAGGAAATATATTCATAAAGGTGTGAATCATCTCCAAATAGGATCTTAACTGACCATATAATAACACTTTTAAATGTTATAAAATTATTAAAATTCTTTATTAATCTCTTTATTTTAATTTTCAATTTATTACGTAATAATATTCGTTAATATGCATTATCTCATAATTAGTTACTGTTTATAATCAAATGAAACCTTTTAACATTTTTTTATCTCTAACTACAATCTAATTAATAAATGTCTCCTGGAGATAGATTGTATTTTATATGGTATTAAAAAAATGCATAACGCGTTAGAAATGTTTTGAATTTTATCTTTAAGTTGAATTCTTCCTTTTTTTCTAATCCATTGGGATTTTGAGCGATTTTCATTTTGCTAATCTAAGTGCGGTAAATATAAATATATAGATAGAAATATCAAATTTTGATACAATCCCAGACACTATTTGCATATATTATATTAGCAGAAAATATATAAAGGATAGAAAGTAAGTAGGTTTGCTTTTTTAACATTTTTCATATTCAGAATATAAAAACCTTATAAACACTATTGATACTCATTCTCTAACATGAGGTAGTAAGCATAGTACAAAAGTTAGGCGTGAAAAAAACTGTAATATTACATAATATTCATATTATCATTTTTGTTTATTTTTAACTTCCCGTAGAGTAAGTTATTGTACCGTCCAAAAATCGAAATCGAAAATTTTTGCATTTCTCGACGTTTTGAAGTTTTCTGAACATTTGGCATACCTCAGAAAAAATGGATGTGTGTGTGTATTATGTATGGATACAATTTTTCGGTCACGTTTTCGGGCGCACGGATCAACCGATTTTAATGGTTCAGAAAACATTCGATTCCTATTGATAGGGAGATATGCTAATTAGTTTTTGGCAAAGGCAGGTCCAGCAGTTACGGAGATGAAAGCAAAGAGTGCCATTTCGAAGATACAGAGCTAAATGTGCAAAAATGGCAGTTTTTTGAAAAAACTAAGCGTCCGATTTAAATGATTCAAATAATTGTTTCATTTTTTTTTCTCATTTTTTTTCAGAAATTTTATCGAAATATTCAGATTTTATTTTTAATTTTGACTAAAGTCCTAATATACTTTAAACAAATAATTTCATCTTTGCAATTCAGTTTCATATAATCCTTATAAATATTAAACAATGTTACAATATTTATAATAATCTATCTGAACACATTCAATATTCCTCGAGCATTTTGTTACGGTACGGGAAGTTCCAGCAATTTGCCTTAAGGCACGATGCCATACATCCCACTAGTTTATCTTTGTTTTATTTGCAAATTGACGAAGATTGTACTATAAATTTTCATGAAAATGAGAAAGTGTGAAAAGCGATCCGGTCTGTGCTTCTATATTTGCATTTAATAATCGCAATAAAGTTAAAGCGGAAGGGAGCTCTATTTACTCTTTTATTTACATTTGTTAGAGATCGAAAAAGTAACGATGCAATTGTTTCAAATAACATGCATTAAATAATATATTTTATTTATTAGCATAATCATGCTTTGTATACATATACAATTAGAGTATAATTATATTAATGAACAAATTTAATTCACCGCCAGATCTTCATAACACTGTTTCAAAAAAATTATGTATACCGATAATATAAGTTCATCAAATGTAACTTTGTTTACTAGTTTTCTGCAATGCATGTTTATAATTTTTATAATTTATACATTTATGAGTATAAAATGCGTGCTAAATATACACT